AGTACCGGTTTGATTAAAATGCATGAGGTGATGCGTGAGTGGATGATTGGTTTGGGAAGAAGAGCTTTCCTTTCCAGAAACTATATAAGGAAGCATATGCATGGCTTGCTCCCTCTCACATTCACAGTAAAGCGATGGAGATGATGGATGTGAATGTTGAGATCCAAGGAGGGGAATCGTTTCCATTCGACTTCATCCTTCCCAAACAATACGTGATATCAAGGAAATAGTGCAACACCTTCAAGGCATTCCCGTTCGCCACCAAATCATCCTCCACAATCAACAACTTCTCTATGACGATCTAAACGTTCAGGAATGCTTCATCCAAAACGGCTCGCGCATCATCGCCCAAATTCACGCCGATGCCCCATCTCCTGCTGTATCGTCGGAGCACGACTACGATTTTTCCACCGACCGCGACGTCAATTTGCCTTCATCGCCATCGTCGGAGCGGCACTCAGACTTCCCATTCCCACCATCACGGCCTCTGGTGCTTGACTTAAACTTGCCGCCATCGCCGGAACCTCTGCATACCTACGCATGCCGGTATCGCCGCCGGCGATGCGCGACTTAAATTTGCCACCATGCGAGCGCCGGTGAACATGAATTTTCCTCCTTCGGCCCCCCTTCGCGTCACTTTCGCCATCGCAATTAAACCCCTCGCACCTGACGCCGGTGCCTTCGCTGTCACCTTCATCGTTACCTTCGTCATTAAACCACACAGACCTGCCGCCGTCACCTTCGCCGTCACCCTCAACTTCAAGCCACTCATACTTGCCGCCGGTGCCCGTGCCGACGTTCAGCTCCGACCTGAAGCAGCAGCCAATACGGGATCACCAAATTCCACCTTTTTTGAATAGGAATTATAATCTTTCGGATATTGCGCCTTGGAGTCCGTCATTGCAGCTGACTGAGACGTCTTATGAAGACGATCCATTCGAAATTGGAGATTTTTCATCTTCACCACTGTTGATGCCGATGCCAGACACGCCAACAATGGTAAGGAAGATGACAGAGTCGGTGCCGCGAATAACCTCACCTTCACCATCAACTTTCGTACCAAATCCTGTTCGACCCGTGCCGCAGACAGTGACGATTAACGTGAAAGTGCCTCTGGTGAAAAATCGTGTCCGTATAGAATCGGACCGAAAGGACACGGTTCTGGAGCTGAAACAGAAGATTGTTGCGCTGGAAGACATGCGGGGCGTACCCGTGGATAGGATCGTGCTTCAGTTGAACTCAATGAGTCTGGAATTAATGGACCATCTGCCTCTGCATGATTGTGTAGTTGCAGAAAATTCTCAGATCGATGTGCTCTTAAAACCGCCTTGTTAGGTGGGTGGTAGTAGCAGAGAGCACTCACCCTCACCTTCCCCCTCGCCTAGTTCTTCCACATCTACTCCACCTTGAATGCCTGTACATACAACTTTCGAAATCCATCCAAATGTATAATCATCACCTTCAATAAATCATTCGCCTTTTTTTCTTTTCTTTTCTATCATACCTGTCCATGGACTCAAAACTATTTTAATCAAAGTTTAGTCGGCTTTAATCATTTACATTTCAGTACAAGTAATGGAACTTGCCTATTTACACTAAACATCACTTCATAATCTACTTTCAAGGGAAATATATTCTTTATAAAAATAAATCTTTTGTATTTATAAAAAGAAATATTCAAGAGTAAAAATTTAAATATCAGTAAAATAGCTTAAATAATAAAATTCTCATATTCTAATTTTATCCATTTAATTTGAAAAAAAAATAAAGTAAAATGTCTTTAGTATATTTTAGTTATTTACATTATTATTATAATTATTATGTTACTATTATTTTAATTATTTTTATTTATTTTATCATTTTAAATATTATAATTATTTCATTTTATCTATATTCATTTTTTTATTTATATTATATAATAATTATAAAATCGATTATTATATATAATTATATATATATCTATAATATATATATATATCTATATATATATATATATCTATATATAATATATATATATATATATGAGATGTATCACAATTTAACACAGTTAAAATTGAGAGTATATCCGAGTATACATGAAGTTTGATTGACTTATTATGACATATATATTATCAGTTTGTGTATAAATATTTAGTTTTATATAATTATTGTTATTAGGTTTTATGGAGTAGTTTCTGAGATAGAATGTGTGATCTTTAAAAGTCGGCGTTAGTTCGAACTTAATTATTGATAGGAATAAAGGAAAAAATCATTTGTAAAGACTCTCTAGAGCCAGAGCATTCCTCCAATTAAACTCTAAAAGTCAAGAAGAAACACTATTAAGGAACAGGTGGATGGCGTAATTATTTCTTTCTGTCGTAGTTAAAATTAACATACTAACTTATTCTTGATTCAAAGACATCCAAACTAACAACATACACAGGAAGATAGTTGCTCTTATCAGGAGAGAAAAAATTCACAATTTCTTGAAAGACTAAATTTAGCTTGGGCGAAGCTGAAGGTTGTTTGCCAACATCAACACTCGAACCATTCAGAATCTTCTTCGTAGATGCTTGAAGAAATATCCAGAAGAACATCTACTCTGGTTAAGTCCCCATGTTTTTTTGTGAATTTTCCACGCTGAAAGAACAAATCACCAATATATTCATATCTCTTTCTTTTAGCCACCTCTAAATCTTCTGTGAATTAGTGCTAGAATAGCTCCTTCCATTCCAATTCCATGAAGTAAAAGTGCCACCTGCAATGTTTAACAACGCAATTCATGCATAATATAATTGCCAAAACTTGTATAAACATCAAAGGGAATCGAGGGAAATTTTTGTAATCCAACGAAGAATTCCTTCAATGCATTCATATCCATATGCGAAAACTATTTATTCAAACAGAATCTGTAAATTAAGCAAGCAACAAAGCTCTCTTTATTAACATAAATTTGTTAGAAAATATCTCAGAAATTTGATTGCATTTAGAGGATCTAAAATGATGTCTGAGGAGTAATTTACATTTCATTTCTAAACCAAACTATTAGATGGCGTTGGATCAGGAGTTTAAAATATAGGATCTCATTAGACCATGAGGAACACTTTGGACTAGATGTGGGCCTAAACCTCTATGGTTTTATTCAGATTAAAACAAAATACTTTTATTTTTAATCTTCTATAATTCAGGAGATATTATAACAAAAGATAAGATGCTCATATCTTTAAACTTTATATTATATTCTGGACAACTCAAGTCTTTTCATATTACGATAGATATATAAGATTATGGTCAATGAACAACCCTAGTTTCAGTATCTAGACTTCGGATTTTCTTACTTGGAAGTTACAATAGCTTTTGAACTAGAACAACCAAAAAACACATATTCTAAAAAAATATAATTAAATTTAAAAAAATCACTTAAAAGAATAAAATATTAAGATAATTATTTTCATTTAAATGATAAATTTAAATAAATGATATTAATGTTAATAATAATTATTTTAGTTTTAAACAGTTACTTAAAAGATTAAATTCAAAAAAAATTATATACAAAGAGAAACCTCTTATAATATAAATATATTGAGGTCTATTTAAAATTTAATAAATAAGTTATGTTCATATTAATTGATCATTAAACAAAAAAACATTTTACGAATAAAAAATAGATAGAAAAATCAATTAAACTAAAAAAAAAAAGGCAAAGCGATTTCTCCAAGTTTGGAGGCATAAAGGGTGGAAAAGAAGTTAGAAGTTACGACTGAATACAGTAATGGACTTTGAAATAGATGTTATTTTTGAGGTGTGCGAGGGGATCTTCTTCTCCATTGAAGTTAATCGTTTTGAAACAATCCGTGATATCAAAGAAAAGATCCAAACCATCTACCAAATTCCCATATCCCAACAGAATTTCATTTTCAAAGGCCAACTTCTCCAAGACCATCTCTACGTCTACACAACTCCGATCCTTCACCACTCACGCATTCGTCTATTTATTCCTACCACCAATGCGGAAAACCTTGCGCCCCCGACACCGCCCCCGCCCCCGCCACGGCCCCCGCCACCGCCCCGCC